AGAAGCCCCCACATGGTATGATGCCATAGATTCTGCCCTTCAATGCAGCGGTTTTCTCCAGGCGAGCTGATCTCTGTCAGCTGGAGATCAGTTGTAAAAGCGGGAGATCTCCAGGCCCCACCCGGAGGTTGGCAACCCTAGTTGGTATCTGGCTTCCGGGAGAATGTGGACTGCTTGGTGGCTAGCTGTGTCCATTTTGCTCAACACTTTGCAGATAAAATCTTTCGCATCCATTCTGAGTTGGACTCTAGATTAACAGCAATGGTTGGATGGTAGAACAAAGTTTGAGTCCAGTGGCACCTTTAAGACCAACAAAGTTTTATTTAAAGTGTAAGCTATTGTGTGCAAGCACACTTCCTCAGGCACATCCAACAAGGTTGGATGGCGGCAGGGTGTTGCCTTGTCCAATTGTTTGGGATACTTTTCAGTTTCTTCAGTCTGAGGATGTGGACAGGATCCTTGAAAGTTTGAGGCCTACCACCTGCTTGTATGACCCTTGCCCTTCCTGGTTACTTAAAACTTCCACAGGGGCTTGCTGATTGGATGAGAGAGGTAGATAATGCTTCCTTAAGAGAGAGGGTGGTCACTCTAGCCCTGAAACAGGCTGTGGTGTGTCCACTTCTAAAGAAGCCTATCCTTGACCCAGGTGATCTCAGTAATTATCAACCAGTTTCTCATGTTCCATTCTTGAGCAAGGTGATTAAATTGGTGGTCGCTGGAGAACTCCAAGCTTTCCTGGATAAGGCAAATTGTTTAGAACCCTTTGTATAGATTTAGGCCTGGTTTTGGAACTGAAACAGCCTTGGTCACCCTGCTGAATGACTTCGGCCAGGAGATGGCTTTTCCGTGGCTTTTGATACTGTCAGTCATGGTATCCTTCTGGACCACCTATCTGGACTGTGATTGGGAGGCACCATTCTGAGATGGTTCTGGTCTTTACATTAGCTAAATGGAAGTTAATAGAAGCCAAATGTGGTACTGCTAGAAGTCATATAAACTACCATCCAATGTTCCCTCTAAACTGTGGAGTCTTGTGATCAAAAATTCTACTTTGTGAGCTACTGGCATTAAAGTTGTGAGCGAGTGATTTGGCTACTACAATAATTAGTTTGCTCTGGAGTCTACCTTCCTGAGCAAAGACAAAAATGTGTGAGCTGGAGGCTAAAAAAGTATGAACTAGCTCACACTAACTCAGCTTAGAGGGAACACTGTTACCAACTCACTGCCAAGTGTACAGTTAGAAGGTAATCTTCATCCACTTGTGGGATCCCTTTCCTGGGTAGTTAAATGTAATATTTCTCAAAGCAGACAAAAACTGCAGGCAGCCGTGTTGGTTCATATTTGGGTTTTTTCCCTAGTAGACCAGCCCAATTGCCTGCAATTTGGACCAGATTCATTCTCAAGTGCTTTATAAAGTAGCTAATACTGACTTGAATCACCGGGCAAGAGGAAATAATCTGTAAACAAAGAGGACAGTTTCCTCAAAAGATCCGCAGCACAGATTATGTATGTTTCAGAGAGGGGAAATAAACAGAAGATAAAAATGGTTCATCCCAGACCAGAACAATTGCACCCGATGTGATGCTTAAAAGCATTCAAAAACAGGATCATCCTTATGCCCAAATAGCTCGCAAATAGATATCAATGTCAGAATCATCTTAGATTCATGATTGCATAAAATGCAGTAGGAGGAAAGCATTAGCTCCTCTGATGTTCACAAAGTGGGCTGTAAAATAAAATTGATACAACAGTGGATCTCTTTGTCTCCCCATTCCACCATAAGCCTATTGATACATATGTATATATTTTCTGACTGCAAAAAACCCCAAGTTGGTGTGACAATTTCTGGTGTCAAGGGGTAAATCCATCTGACTGTCAGCAGTTTCCATTAAGATGAGATTGGGTGATTTTAAAGTTGGTGCTTTTATAATACATTATTGATACTTCACCTGAATTTCAGGATGATGTTCCAAATTAAAGGAGTTTGAAGTAATTCCTGGCATTGGCATTACACCAGTACCAGGGCACCTCCTTTATTCTTGGGGTTCAATCTATCCTGCTGACACCTGTCTGAAGGCCAGAACAATCCCCCTTTCACCAATAGCAAGGCTCTATTATAGGGATAGGCCCATTTAGCAGGAGTACCTTTCACAAGTTTCAGCTAGTGAGCCAGTTGCGGCTTTTCCTGGGTAAATAAGAACATGCCCTGATTAAATCCAGATTAAATCAGTGCAATGGGCTCTAAGTGAGGCTGCCCTTGAAGAGTGTATGGAAAATACTATTGGTACAGAATACTGCAGCAAAAATAGTAACTTAAGTGGGGTTGTAGATAGTGCATCACTCCAGCCTTCTTCCATCTCTACTGGCTTCCATTTTCCTTCCAGGCCCGATTCAACATGCTAGTATTGACCTCTGAAGCCCTATATGGAATGGGAACAATATACCTCAAGGACTGCCTTACTCCCATATGAACCATTATGGCTATCTATGGGGGCCTCATGTGGCAACCAGACAAAGGGTTGTCTTGGTTGTGGAATTCCCTCCCCAGGAAATTCACCAGTTCCCTTACACCCCATCAGGTGAAGACCTTTTTGAATTTCTTTGGCATTCCCTTATCGACACTCTTCCTATTTATTTGTATGCACACACAGACACACACACATATATAGTTTGTGTGTGTATACTGCTTTGGTTTTTAATTTTTTGTTTGCCACTTTGAGGACCTCAAGTGGGTGGAAATGCAGCATAAGAATGTTTTAAATAATTAGTGTAGAGTCCATGTGGTCAAATGGAACAAGGACAGCAGCAAGGATGGCCAATACCTCAGGAACTAATGTGCTTTCTGCCTTCAAGAAGCAGACTGGCAATGCTTCTGTGCTTTCACTGAATATGTGTCAGACAGCAATACATAAAAGTATGAGTCTGCTCATTGCTTCATTTCATTGCAAGTGGGTTCTGCATTTGGCATAAAGCCAAAAAAAACCTTACCAGTGTTTTTCAGATATTTAAGCCGAATATTGATTGAGGCTGAATTTCAGCTATCCAGAGTCAAAATTAAAAGACATTTAAAGGGATTGCCTTCCAGGTGAACTTGCTGCTTAGAGAAGGCATTTAAAGGGACGCAATCTCTTTAAATGCCTTCCCCCCTTCCATTGAAAGCAGTGGAAGATGGGGCACCTTCTTTGGGGGGCCATAGAATTGGACCCCCTGGTCCAATCTTTTTGAAACTGGGGGGGGGGGGGTTGGGGGGCGGTTTGAGGAGAGGCTCCAGCAGCTATGCTGGAAATTTGGTGCCTCTACCTCAAAAAAACAGTTCCCCACCCCAGCCCCAGGTACTCTAGATCAGTTCTTCATTATACCCTCTTGGGACCATTGACAATAATGGTTCCCATAGGGTGTAATGGGGCTGAAAAATTCAGGATTCCCACATATTTACTGAATCCAAATACCATACCGATATTGGGATTCAGGAATATTGGGAAATACCAATATTTTTCAGGTTCAATATACCCGAACCAGAAAAATTCTGAGGTTTTTCTTTCTTTCTTTTTTGCACACCCCTAATTGCTAGTAAAGATGTAATCAAAATATTTTACCACACAACTAAAAATGTATAGGGCCTAGGCAAGCCCAATAAAATCATTTGGTGATCCAGATCTGGCCTATCTACTGTTAGCCAATCCTAGTTTAGAACATGGAAGATTATCCAAACTGATCCTTGTGAGAAGACAAAAGGGCTTTTGAAATGACAATAATAATAGATGTTATATGTCTAAAATGGGAAGAAGGGGAGAGAGGGAAAAGAGGAGTAAGGTGTGACCTCTCCTGGTCACTTCCCTGAAAGATTCTTTGACTCATCCTTTTCCACTTGATGTCACAGGACAGCCTTTTCCTTGAATACCACTGATGGGCAAAAGTGAAATTGCTATTCTGCAGAAATGTGACAGATTGCCTGAGAACTTCTTGGATGACTAAAATACCATATTTATTGCTATTTGAAAATGTGTGCACATGTTTAGACTTAAAGGAGGGGAAAAATTGGCTCCATTCCTTCAAGGCAGCTGTACTATCATAATCCCAGACACATAAAATGAAGGCAGGTGGAAAATTATGAACATGATCCTTCCAGGGTATCATCATGCTTGGATAAATGTTCGCATTCATGATTTTATATAATTAAAACTGTACTGTAGTTTTCTTGGGGGAAAACTTTTCCCACTGTTCCTTCACCCCATAATTAGGAAATCTGCAAGAATTGTATATTTAGTTGGCAGGTAGTGAAAAGAGCTAAACACATTTAGCAAGATGGTCTTGAATGAATAGTTGCTAGAGGATAAGCTGTACAAATTCACAGCGATATCCTGAAACGTGCAGAGTCAGCTGTTGCCAACTTGCTGACACTGTTGAACCACAAATGTTGCTTTCTTCGCACTCTAACTCCAAAATCTAGAATTCCTGTTTCAAATTATGACCAAGCTTATAAGTACGGCACCAGCTTTCTGCATAAGGTAATATGTAGCTATTACCATCATCACGTAGAACTGTTCTATCTACCTGGCTGCATCCAAAGGATGGGTGAGGCACAGCCTTCCTTTACCACTCCTGCAGGGGCTATTCTACCTTGACACTGTAGAACTTCAGTATGTGTCATATAGTGGTTGGTATCTGAACGATGGGCTGGATCTGGAGTAAACTGGATCGGCCGATTTCCCCTTCCTGCTACAGGCCCCCATGTAATTCCTCGAGGTCTCTTCTCCCTGAGGAGCAGCATTCTGTAGAGATCAGTGGGCTGCAGAGGGGGGAGGAAGGGGGGGAAGTTCCATTCTGCCCCTGGAGAATTTAGTCTGGATCCAACCCATTGCCTTTTGTAACCGTTGCTTCTGCCTTGTGTTGTATTTATTAGACTACAAGCCATTGTAGCAGGGACTCTGTACAGAAGTGGGGAATATTTTAAGTGTACAATAATGATAAAAACATCCAAGTTTCTCCTTGACTGCGTCCATATACATCCAATTTTATTTTTTGAACAGGCCACCATTTATCATAACAAAATATATTTTACATTTTATATGCAAACAATGTTTACAGTTTTCTCCTTGGACAAACAGCAAAACAGTTCTTCCTTCTGTATATTCCTCATACAACTTACCTGCAATTAAGCTTGCAACAAAGCAAACTAAAGACACATGCAACTCTCCATAGTCCTGTTTTGCTTAGCCATTATATTGTACTGTGTGCTCAAGTCAGTATGTTCATATACTTTTTCTATATTTATATCTTGTTTGCCAGATAAATTCAGAATTAAGGACTAAGATGCTTCCAGCCAATGAAGTCCCAATGCGGACACCTTCATATTTTCTTTTGGAAAACCAGAACAGTTACATTGTTCCCAGTTTTTCCTCCAAAGCAGAACACAGATGTAGGCAGCTCCTCCAAAAGAAGAAACCCTGCCAAACATAAGCAACATGCTTTTGTTAGCAATAAAGCAGGTTATATTCTATTTGGATAGGGCTAGTACAAATGGAGCATACATGAATCAGCAAACTCTCAAGTTTTTTCTGAGTGACAGTTTTATTTTGCTGAATCATACCAGCAAGTTAAAATTTATTCCTAGCATGTATTAAAAACAAGACTGCGTCATGTCAATATTTCCAATTTCTAAGAAATCACTAGAGACTTGGTGTTAGGAATCCTGAATTATTCTCCTGAAGGAAACTTTTGGAAACAGGAAATCCAAATTTTATAATTCAGCTTCACTTGGCTCGTTGTCTTAACTTTGGTAGCCAGATATGCACTACGTGTTGTGTGTGTCTGTTTAGCTAGGAGAGAAAAAGGAGAGTTGTTATGCAGAAGGAGACTGGTATGCATGTGACAGGAAGAAAACAGAAAAGCTTGGTGAAGGCTATCATTTCAAGTATAGCACTCTACCTCATGTTAGCAAGAAAAGCACCCATAATGCATCTGATTTTTGAGCACTCAATGTTGAAACTGTTTATAGATTTTTCTTGGTAACCATAAAGAGTAAGGCTTTCCAAATGACTGAAAGAGATTCTGAATAAACTCCAGATTATGTGCCAGAAAACATCACTTGTGACAGCCCATTTGTTTATGGCCACAGGTGTTCTACACGTCATACCCTTGAGGTTCAAGCTCATTAACATGTGAAAGGACCCAGATAAGGAGCATTTGGACATGGCAGAGAATTGCACATGTGCAGATGGTTTTGCTTCTTTGTGGAACTACAGCAGATCCCACTGCTATACTCACAGTTAAAATAGGAAATTTGACTCTTTGGCATTGTAGAAATAGCTTTGACAGAGTTCTGCATACACTCATGGTTCTAAGAATTCCTGCATATCCATGTCCCATTGCTGGATCACAACTCAAAAACTGAATATCTGGTACTATATCATAATCAGAAAAAAAGCCAAGTAATGTGCATGTAGCACACAAAAAATTCAGCCTGGACAGAAAAAAAGGGTAAACATCCAATCCTTGGATCCTTCCAAACGCTGAAAACTCCATCCACAATAAAGCCTGAAACATTTTAACTAAAATTGCTTTTGACAGGACTAGTTAAGAAACGTAAAGTTTGGAAAACAAAGTGCACATGGCCTTAACTTCAGGTCATCAAAATGCTTTTCAAAGGACAGGGTTCTAGTACGCCAACCTGACTACACTGCGTCTTGAACACGCCATCTTGAGTCCCTTTGGAAGGAACTCAAAATATGCTAAGATGGAATTCATGCACAGATTTGATGCTCATTCGGACTCCTTTGGCACTTGAGATAGTGCCCAGTTCATTCATCAGAAGGAATGCTCCACATGCACTTTAAGTGGATGGTTTATTCTTTAAATGGGCTCTTTGTACAATGTAGTCTCACATCTTGGAAAACTGGACCTTCTAGCCTTGCTTTGTAAGAATTCTTCATCCTATGCTGCTCTGAGTATAAATTTCTCTGCCAACCAGATAGAACATACCACTGAAATGCCCAAGTGTGTTCCAGCTCATAAAAGCTTATGCCACAATAACTCATTCTTTTTTAAGGTGCCACCAGACAGTTTGTTATTCCATCTTGGAAATTCACACAACTGAGAATATCATGCCTTAGCACTAAAATAACTTGTCAGTTATTACTCTTGTTACATAACTACATCTCAATAAACAGTAATGCTGGCGAAGTCCACATACAAAAATCTCTCACAAGAGCCTTTAATATTTGAAACTCAAGCAGAGGCATGGTTCAAACACAAGGATGCGCCCACTGCTATTCTGACATCTAGTTCATGTTTGACAGAAGGAAGACATCAAAAAGTACAGTAACATTTTAAATTAGATATATAATTGCAAGTCAAAGATGTACCTTCTCCAAATTCATTAAGTAGTTCCTCTCTGGTCCAGTTACAAGAAGTTATGAGGAAAAGGCCTCCTGGTCTCAATATCCTATGCAGTGATTTTACATACTGCTTTCGTTTCTCAGCTGCATTCTCTGGATTCAGGCTGATGGCATCAAAAGTCCCTTTGTCAATGCAAACATGAAATCCTGATAATTCATCTGAAGGATTTAAAATATCTTCTACCTAAACCAAGGAATTCAAGAGGTTATATATAAGAATAAAACTTTTGGGACCACCACAGCTATGCATTGCTGTTAGGTTCCCCAACCTCCAGGTGGGGCCCAGAGTTCTCTTGGAATTACAACTGTTTCTGTCTACAGAAATCAGTTCCCCTGGAGAAAATGGCAGCTTCAGAGGGTAGACTCTGCTGAGCTCCTGCCCCCACCAAACTCAACCCTCCCCTGACGCCACCCCCAAATATCTGGGAGTTTCTCAAGCCAAAGAAACCCTAATTCCTGTCTGTGATGCCAAGCACCCTCATTCCATTGCAAGGATTAACATGAATATTATAATGCCTAGTTTGAGTTTACAGCTCTCTGTGATTTCAGCACTCTTGTTACCACCAGCAAAGGCCAGACAATGGAATGTGCTAAATGGGTAAATCATAAGAGGTAACGGTAAAGGTTTCCCTTGCTCGAAAGCCAGTCGAATCTGACTCTAGGGTTGCGGTGCTCATCTCCGTTTCCAAGCTGAAGAGCCAGCACTGTCCGAAGACGTTTCCGTGGTCATGTGGCCGGCATGACTAAACACCAAGGCACACAGAATGCTGTTACTTTCCCACCGAAGCGGTACCTATTTATCTACTTACAGTTTCTTGCTTTCGAATTGCTAGGTTGGCAAGATCGGGAACCAGAGACAGGAGCTCACTCTGTCATGCGGCACTCGAGACTTGAACTGCTGAACTACCAACCTTCCAGCCTGCAGTTCAGTGTCTTAACCACTTGAGCCACCACAGCTCTACATCATAAGAACCTGTGCTTAATTGGATAACATGATAGGAGGGGGGAAATTAGGAGCAGAAACTAGCATCTTTTGGAAAATTCCTGAGAAGACCTTTGGTAGGATGAGAGAGACCTTCTAACTCTGTGGGGCAAAGAGCTACAATTGGAGCTACAGGCTAGTAAGAGTTATGCTAGGCCAGGGTATGCTTATGCTATGCTTCGTTATGGCTGACTGCAGTGGATAGAATGCTGCTCTGCTACTGCTTGGACTTTTATGCTATGAGATTTGCCATCTGCAACACAGGTATGAAGTATATTAGATAGGTATGAAGTATATTAGATATTTTCCTGTTATTTGCTCTGTGGAGACTGTACTGGACAGATTATTATATTTAGTTACTCAGTAAACCTTTAGTTAATTCTACAAGGTTTGGTTTATTGTGTGCAAACCCATCTTGAGAACTCACAGGTACACTGCTCTGGGAAGTTGTTCAGGGGTTCCAGGAGTAGGAGCCGGGAACATCAACTCAGTGGGAATGGTAGGTGTTCCTGACACTGGCTATTAGATTTTTATACTACCTGTCCTCCAAGAAAGCTCAAGGCAGCATTCATGATTCTCCCTTCCTGTTTTATCCTCACAACTAGAAATAATGCCCGTTGCGGAAATAAATACAACGGGATCTAGAAAGAGGCTCTGGGAGAGTGCTCTGGCTTTGTGCAAACAGTGTCAGTTTCCTGTGGCGACCTCAGCAGGGTTTAATGACAGAGTCCACTGTTTTCTCCAGAGGGACTGATCTGTGCTACCTGAAGAGCATTTGTATGTTTGAGTTATCTGTAGCCCTCACCTGGAGAGTGGTAACCATTGTTACCCATTCTCCTCTCCCCTATGAGGTATGTTATGCAACTGAAAATCCCAACTGCCTTGCGGGGTGGGGGGGAGTTTGAGGTGTGGAATGGACTGAAGTCCAATCAGCTTCCATATGCAAAAGACCAGGTTGTCGCAGCAGTTGTGGTGTGAGCGGGACCCAGGCTTTGCCTTCTGATTGGTGGCGATATATGCTGAGGAGCAGTGCCATCAGCCATACACTAAGGGAGTGCATTTTAGAATTAGAACTTTGGCACCCACTATTAAATTATATATAAGGAGAGACAATACTGTGAAATAGGTTAGGCCATAATACAATGACTGGCCCAAAGTCACCCAGTAAACTCCATGGCTGAGTTCAGATCTGAATTTAAGATTTCCTCAGTTGAAGCCCAACTCCCTCAACCTTACACAGTATTTCCTACTAGGACCACAACAAAAGAGAAAATGAGCGAGGTACTATTATAAGCAAACATTCAATGATATTTGACATGCATGCTTTATCAGTATTTTGTATATGTTTAACTAATTCTTTTGTTGTATACCATTTGGAAAGTGGGTTAGAATTCTAAAATTCTTCTCCAGCTTGTGCAGACATAACCCTACAAGATGTTTCATATATCAAGTTTTCTAGGAAGCTTAGCTTTGTGTCCAGTGTAATATTTTGCTAGGTTAGTACCATAGAAGAAGAGGAGAAGAGATTGGATTTATACCCCGCCCTTCACTACCCAAAGGAGTCTCAGAGCGGCTTACAAACTCCTTTCCCTTCCCCTCCCCACAACAGACACCCTGTGAGGTAGGTGGAGCTGAGAGAGCTCTTGACAGAAACTGTTTTCCCCCCCCCCAAGAACAGCTGTGCCAGGTGCAAGTGGAGGAGTGGGGAATCAAACCCGGTTCTCCCAGATTAGAGTCCGCACACTTAACCACTACACCAAACTGGCTCTTAAAACTTTAAAACTGCTATGCTATAACTCCAGTCTAATTTAATGGATTTAGACTGCAGTGACTGCAAACTATTTGCACTATTAATTTGGTTAGATTATTAAAAAAAATTTTTTACAATGCACTCTAAGTCCATTCTAAGTCTGTCCATTATAAGTCCATTTTACAGTCCACTCTAGGTCTCCTGAAAACAATGGGATTAGAAGGATATAACCCTGCTCAGCAGAGCACTCATGAGCTTGAGTCCTGTGCATTTGATTCATCTGCACTTCTTGTTCCAGTGGCAATACTTTCATGTTAGGCACTTCTTGGCTCCTTGAAAGACATTAATCTTGCACCAGAGGAAACTCATTTCACAGATGACAACCTCTGCAATGGCTGAAGAAAGCACATGGCATAGGATCCAAGTCCTAATTGACTTAAAAGATGTTCTTTGATAATCAGACAATTAAACATATATAATTATTTCTCATATAATACTAAAAATATTATAGATAGCAGACGCCAACATAAGAAGCATTCTGTCCCGCAAGGAAATAGTACCTGCTGTGAAATCAATAAGGAAAGTTTGTCCTCAGAAATATCCTTTTATGCAAAATTATATAGATTTAAATGGATAACTTAAACTTGTTGGATTCATTAACTAAGCTCTCTTTAATTAAGTGACACTTTTACGGCCCTTTTGTGATATCACAGCATACATTTTCTTCCTATGATAAGAAAATACCACCCCTGTACCAAGAACTATACATGCTTCCCTTGAATTTGTTCACGCACACACTAAGCCAAAACAGTCTGCACATTAGATTTCCTTGTTGAGGAACTGGAGTTAAATCTTTTAGGAGGTGTATTTGATGTACTATTATAGTTAGAATGAGATAAGAACCCCTGAACTGACTTTTTCCTTTGATTTCCTTAATGTGGAAAGTATGAATCAGAGTTTGTGGTGGGTTGAGAGGACATGATAAAGAATAGTACAAGTGTCCTTCTAATTAGACTACTCATCCATCATCTAGCTTAGCATCCTTTTTCCTTCAGTGGCCAACCAGATGTACAGGAAGAGCTAAAACAGAGACACAGAAGCCAAAATGTCATCCTGATGCTCTTCCCAGCAATTGGCATTCATAAATATACTGCATCCAAATATGGAGGTCCCATATAGCCCAGCATGGCTAGTAGCCATTGAGGAAGCCATTCTTTATGAACTTCTGTAATTCGCTTTTAAAACTATCTAAGCTAGCAGCAAATGCCAGATCCTGTGCCAATGTGTTCCACAGATCGATTATGCATTTTTGTGCATCCTGAATCTACTGTCCATCAATTTTATTGGGTGTCCCTCCAAGTTCTAGTACTTTAGAAGTCCTTGCTATCCCCTTTCTCCAGATAAGGTTTATAAAAATATGCACAATCACATTCATCCTTACTTGACTTTTTCTAAATCAAAAGCAATAAACTCTCGAGTCATTCCTTGGCAGAGGTGCTCCCATCCCTTCATCATTTTGGTTGCATTTTTCTTTTCCAGCTCTACAATATCAATGTCGACAAAGAGCAACCTGAACAAAACTGCCTAAACTAGCATCAGAGGACCAACAAGGAAGGACAAACTGAATCTTCAGAGGATGAAGGACATTTCACACTTGATTAATAAGAGCTCCGTACTTCTCACTCCAATGTGAAGACTTACCTGCAATTTAACTTGAGGCAACCCTTCTTTTTCCATTACCTTTTTTGAAAGCCAAATTGCGGAAGGGGAGTAGTCAATTCCTATGAGATCAGTGTAACCGGATTTGGCCTACAGAATGGGGGCGGAAAAAGGAGTCCTTAAATCTTGAACGCATTTACTTGGCTGGATCACTACCCAGCTTCCACAGCATTTACTTTAGAAAGAACCTATGTAAGACTAACATAAAGGTGTTAGCAAACTGTACCAACTCATAAAAGAGATCAAAGTAGAGCTCCTGCACACCTGCATCAGAACTTCTGAACTATAGCATGCCTTTTGCAAGAATTGAAGCAAAACAGTCACAGCTCAGTTAGAATGTGACAGTGATGTGTGTTGTGAATTTAAGTGGCATCAACTAAAATAAAAAAACTCCTGTTTTAGTTGCAGACTGAAAAGAACGCTATGTTTCAGATCACAATGCCCCATAAAAGCTTTCCTTGGGTTTACTTAGGAAACTAGAATTCCACTTAGGATGATACTGTAAAAGTTTTAGTTTTTCTAGGCCAGAATTTTTTCACTAACAGTTATTAAGGCTGATTCTCTCCTACTCACAATAGAGATTCCTCATGAATCTCAGGCCAGGCATGTACATAGTAATGGACTGTTACAGTATTAAGGCTAGTTCTGCATTTTCTTTAAGCTAGTGCCACCAGTGAATTTGCGCTTACGTGCTTCCCTTTCTAGCTTCAGTTATGCATCAAAACAACACTGCATTCACAAGCACTAACCAATTCAGCCAGTAAATAACCATTTCCTGTTCCAATATCAAGTATACAGCTGTCCAAGGGTATCTTCTGTTTTTCTAGCCATCCAATTAAACGACTCATGCTTTCCTCGCCAAACCTAATCAGAAACAGAGGTTCAGGTAAGTAAGACCAACAATACACTCAGAAGTAAGACAAGCAGACTTTGTTAATCTCACCTGACATATCTACTTAATGTCAGAATTCAGGCAACATTCCCGCAGAGAGTGCATTACAAATTTGTTTACCTGAATTTTTAAATGAATGGAGGGCTCTGAAATCTGCTGGATTAACATGAGGAAAGATGGAAATTTGGAGAGACGTACCATTCTCTACAGAAACACAAGGCAGCAGTACAATTTGAAACAACACACAAAACTACCATATACTGAATCAGACCCTTGATCTGTCAGTTCAGCATTGTCTTCAGACTGGGAGTGGCTCTCCAGGATCTCAGATCTTTCACATCACCTATTACTTGATCCTTTTAACAGGAGGTGCAAGGGATTGAACCTGGAAGCTTCTGCATACCTGAGCCACAACCCCTTATTTAATTTTTGACCAATGTCATGGCTAGGAGCACTTGGCCTTGACTGAGCAGCCTGTAGCCAGGAATTCATTTCCCACATAAAAAAACCAACAGATGTCAGATAATTGGCTGTTTTAATTTGCAACAGGTTTAGCCCAGACAAGAGCTGGCATTTTCCACAAAAACCTCTGTATCTCATTACCAGTTCTCTAAGCAAAACAAGCAGCCATACAATTTTATTTCATTACACATACTTTTAGAAAGAAGAGAACGATCAGCAAACATTTACTGAAGCACGACATGTTGCTACTTATACTTACCAGATCTCACCAGCATCACCAGTATCGTCAAAATGCTGCAGTTCACGTTTATATGTGGCATCCCAACTACAGAGATGGAAAAAACCCACAGATTAACAAAGGCTTATTCATATTCATCCACATGCTTCTAAAGCGAGCATCGGTGAAAAAGGACAACTGTACTGGTGAAGAGTGATGCTCCCAAATGGCAGCAGTTCAATGAGCAATACTGCAGGAAAAGGTAGATGCTCCTAGACATGGAGGCTAGACAGCTCATACATGCACCAGTCAACAGTACAGACTGAATCACTGCTTACAATCCATCAAACAAGTGGCTGTCACTCATTACCTGGCTGGATTATTTTTAAAATACAACCTTTGATCTTAGGCAGTTCTAAATGTACAGATGGTATGTGAATTAACTAATGCAAATGAAAAAGCTTGGGTGGGGGATTTTCACAGGAAAGGGCAGCCATAGTTAGTTCCAGAAAGAGGTGCCGAGTTTCAAGCCTGCCTAGGAGAGTCATTATTTTACTGAAAGCTTCTCTCTCCCTAAGCCCAAATGTGTGACCTGTTACTCATTTGTTTTAAGAGAGGGCATTTGTTACATGCCCGGAGATTCCCTAAATTACTTCCATCGATTTTAAGGATGAATACAGGGTTAAGCACGGCTACAGAGCACTGGAAACAAGGCTGTGACCAGGATTTTTGACTTTGGGGGGCATTTAAATAAGTTGGGGGCACTGTGTCAGAAGCAACAAGAGAGTACAAGTTTAAGAGAGAGAGAGAGGGAAGGCTGGAGTAGGGCGCAGATGTGCCCTGCAGTGTGCCTCACCTGCAGCCAGCCAAAGGTACACTGCCAGTAGGCAGGGCAATGGCTCAGTGCAGCCGTGGCTCACAAGAAAAATAAAATAAAACAAACCGCCTGGATGGGAAGTCAGGAGGCCTGGCCCCAAGATGCCCCACTGTAACTGCAAACCTACCCAGAGTTGTTAGTGCTGATATGGGTAACTGGCAGAGCACACTGTTATGCATACCAACCATACACAATGGCCCTCTCCTCTGCACCAAAATGAATCAGAAAAAGTTGATACATCTTCCTCATATCCAAAGCCAGCAGATGTTTTGCTTTTCATAATGCAACCACTACAGCTTTCCCTGGCTGCCAACAGAATCACATACAACTGAAATCAAAGTGACTTTTTAATGTGGATCTTTCACTGCAGCAATGACATTTGAACTTTTTATACAGCAGAAAATGTTTTATATGCCAGATATCAAACTGGAGTTGTTTTTTGCTTCTAACAAAAAACCCAGTCTTCGTTCATAATATTCCAGTGAGGCACCTGTGAGGTTGCAACAAAAACACATATTCTTGCAGCACTTCAAAAACGAATGTAAGCTTCCATGGGCTATCCACAACCACTCAAATCAAACTGTGAGTTTTTAAAGTTTGCTGTTTTTATGATTTGTTATGTGTTCTTTCCACCTCCCACCAAAAGCAACTTAAATAATTTATTTTTTTTTAAAGCCAAGCTTTCTTCATTCCGTTAAATGATTCCGGTGGCTGGCAATAAAGGCACCTTTAGTGAGTGCTCAAATCAAGCGGAGAACTAAAATTCCACAATACCAGGTCAACAAAACCATGAGTATGCCCCTAAACAGAGCTGTTGGAAAATGTTAAGTCACAGCCAACTTATAGCAACCCTAAAGGGTTTTCAAGGCAAGAGATGTTCAGAGGTCGTTTGCTCTTCCCTGCCTCTGTGTAGCAACCCTCGACCTCCTGGGTGGTCATCTCATCTATGTAGTAACCAGGGCTAACCCTGCTTAACTTCTGAGATCTGATGTGAGTGGGCTAGCCTGGACCATCCCGGTCAGAACTAAAGGATATTCTATCAAGTCACAACCAGTGTTCCCTCTAAGCTGAGCTGGTGTGAGCTAGCTCACAGTTTTTTAGCCTGTAGCTCACTCATTTTTGTCTTCTCTCGGGAAGGATGGCTCCAGAGCAAACCAATTTATGCAGCAGCCCAATCGCTCGCTCACAAATTTAATGCCAGTAGCTCACAAAGCAGGATTTTTGCTCACAAGACTCCACAGCTTAGAGGGAGCATTGGCCACAACCGACTCGTGGGAACCCCACCCACAGGGTGTTTCAGGCAAGAGACAAGCCGGGGTGGTTCGTCAGTGGCTTCCTCCACACAGCAACCCCACTTTCCCTCGGTGTTCTCCGATCCAAGCACTAATGACCGTAGCCAACCCTGCTTAACTTCCAACCTCTGATGAGCGTATGTTAAACGGGGCTCTTCAGGTTACCCCCTGCTAAATCCATTGGAATCAATGGGCTTAGAAAGGTGCAACTCCGTTTAGGACGGTACTGCATGTCACTAACACAAAACTCTTCCCTTCCAGACTGCGGCCCAGCATTGCGCACTCACTGCTCTTTGGTGCCCAGCGCCGAAGGTTCAAACTCATCTTCCCCGCCGCCCATTGCCTACTAGCGAAGACTCCCAGAGACCATAGAGTAATCACAACACAGAGAGGTCCCATACTTGCTTCCAGCCCCTCTAGGCTTCCGGAGGACCTTTCCTTTTCCTCTTCCCTGATTTTTCCTACGAGTCATTGTTATGGGGTCCAAAACCAGCGCCTGCTTCCGATTGTATGGAACAGAAAAAAGCGGGGGAAAGTCTTCTCTCATTTAAGGGTTGTGTTAGGGAAGAACTGGGAGTTAAGAGGAAATTTCCTTTCCTACCAGCTATGAGCAGAAGAGTTATCCCTCTTATAAGTAACAAAAGCGAGCCGAGTTCCAACTCCTAACAAGTGTGATGCTAGTAGTGTGAACCCATCTCTTCGGTCACATTAACAGGTTTGGAGTAATACTGAAACGCTCTGGCTCCTCAGCCCATTAATTTGTATGGTAGAGAAGAACTACGTGTCCCAAAAGGCTTTGCGGCAGCACCGGAAACCGGAGTGCGAGGAGAGCCGCGAAAGGCGCTGGCGCGGTGGTTTGTGGGATCGTCGTCGGAGGTGGTGGTGGGGCTCCGTCATGGCGGCTTCCATTTCTGGCTACACATTCAGTTCCGTCTGTTACTGCAGCGCCAACAGCAGTGCCGACCACGTAAGTCCTCGAGCCTCCTCGTCGCCTGGCCCTGGAAGAGTAGGACGCCGGGGGTGGGTTGTGAGGCGAGCGCTTGTCTCCCGTTCGTGGGCAAGGAAGGTGGGGATGGACAAGAGGAAATGGGTGTGAAGGGAGGAAGCGAAGGCAGCCGGAGGAAGCGAAATGGGGCAAGGAGAAGAAGAGTCCCGAAGAATCATTTAGGCGGATTGGTTATGCGGAAAGAAAAACGGCGCATGGAAACTTCAAGGGGATATTGTTATAAATTGGGGGTGAGGGTACAGCCTGCGTTGTGGAGAGCCATCGCTTGGCCTGGTAATAAAGCCGCAAGGGAGGGAATAGCAGAAATGGTGGGATAAGAAGTTGTGGGAGTATTGTGGCTCGAAGCCGTGGATTGCAGCAAGCCAATAAGATGTCCAGTCTGAGGCGTTTTGACTTACACACTGTGGTTATGAGGAGCTACAGCATAGACAGAATTTATAGTGTTACTTGGAGGAGAGTTTTTTGGGGAGGATCCTTGTGGGAAATCCAGGGCTAACTTACATTTATGTTTTATATATATTTGTGTGTGTTTGTATTTTAAAATTCTTAAACCAGGTTTGATGTGGATAGGTGTTTTATTGAATCTAGGAGCTGTTGCTATGTGGATGTGGCTAACTCCTCACATTTTGTTTTCTTCATGAAACAAATCTGCAATTTCTCTTTGTAACCTCTGGACGCTCAGAGAAAAGGTGTCATGTTGCTACTGAAATGTTTAATTTCTCTTTGTAACCTCTGGATTAGATAATTGAACAGATATGAATTGGTTGGTGGTGTCATAATTGCAATCTGTGTGAGAAATGTTTGTGTGCATGTGAGTGAAAAATTGACGAGGTCAGTCCTAGCACCAAATTGCTGAGTTGTCGTCTTTCCTCCTATGTAGAAAAAAGGGGGGATGCACCAAGGCAAAATGAAGGTGAGAAGACAAATGGTTCAAAGGAAAGAATTTTTAATGATTGTATAACCCCTATGCATTTTGCCTGCAGTTTTGTCAGGGGGAATCTATCAAAATAGTTCAAATACAAAAGTATATTTAATACATCATTTCAAAAACAAAATGTTGATTAAATAAAGGCAGTTTTCATAGAGCATGTGCAGAGTACAATTCACAATAAGTTGTTTATATTAAGGTAACTGAACTAGGAGTAACATCCACTACATTTTACAGAATCACATTAAATTCTTCATTTAAATTAAGATGGGTAGCCATGTTAGTCTGTAGCAGCAGAGAAGAGCAAGAGTCCAGTAGCACCTTAAAGACTAACAAAATATGTGGCAGCAGCAGGGTATGAGCTTTCGTGAGTCTGAAGAAGTGAGCGGTGACTCACGAAAGCTCATACCATGCTACATATTTTGTTGTTCTTTATGGTGCTACTGGACTTATGCTCTTTTCATTTAAATTATTTAAGAATCATACCGACCTTCCAGACTCTTTAAATCCGTTCCCATATGTACCTTTCAGCAGACATGCCCAGACAGCTCACTCTACTGAAAGGTACGTACGGAACAGATTTAAAAAGAATCTTGAAGATCAGTATGAGTCTTAAACAATTTAAATGTAGAATTTCATGTGATTCTGTAATATGTAGTGGATGTTACGGTTAGTTCAGTTGTCTTAATATAAATAACTTATTGTGAATTGCAACTTGCACATGCTCTCCAATATGGTGTAGTGGTTAGGAGCGTGGACTCTAATCTGGGAGAACCGGGTTTGATTCCCCACTCCTCCGCATGCACCTGCTGGTGTGACCTTGGGTCAGTCATAAATTCTTTCAAAGCTGTTCTCTCAAGGACTGTTCTCAGGACAGCTCACTCAGCTTCACCTACCTCACAGAGTGTCTGTTGTGGGGAGGGAAAGGAGATTGTAAACTGCTCTGAGACTCCTTCGGGTAGTGAAGGGCAGGGTATAATCCAATCTCTGTTTCTTCTTCTCTGTGGAAATGCCTTTTTATCAATATGCTTTAATTGTTTTTGCAATGATGTATTAAATATACTTTTATATTTGTACTATTTTGATTCCCCAATGAAGCTGCGCGCAAAACACATAGGGGTTATACAATAATTAAAGATTTTTTCCTTTATACCATTTGTTTTCTCACCTTCATTCTTTCCTCCTATGCCAAATAAAACTTCTGGAGTCCACCCATGGGTTCTTGCCACTGCACTGTTTCATCCTATGTGTGTTTACTGAGAAGGATGTGACCTACTCCCTAGTAAGTGTGTATAGAAACATAGTCAGTGAATGCATTCCCATTGAATTTTCCAGTTGTCTGAGCTGAGGGCTTAGGCTAGAAAGAAAAGGAAATAAGTCAAAACATAGCTGGATTCCAGGAGATCTACAGAGTCCCTGTGAGTTGAAAGCTGCTTGGCTGATTAATTAAATATGATGTAGAGACTGAAGTAATGCAGTGATTTTCAAATGATGGCACATGACACTTTGGAAGTGTAGCAGGGCTGTTTGTCATGGGTGTCGAGACAAGGTGGTACAATATTTCAGTTATTTCTAGGTCAAGGGGTAGGACGAGCATCTGAGCACAAGTCAAATGAAATTATTTTGTGGGGTGATTTTTGCTTTTTTGTTTGCTTGTTTAAGAACAACTGAAGCATGTAAACCTATCCCAGATCTACAGATTAGAGTAGTTTTGCATAATCATTTGCAAAACTAGTTTGCTGATGTTCATATGTTCATAGTGTAGAGAATGGAATGAAGGACATAACATAGCTATGTATGTTCATAGTGTAGAGAATGGAATGAAGGACATAACCGTAGACGTGAAGCAAAGTGAGTCTCAAGTTACAGATTGAGGTAAAGATGGGGTCCAGGTCTGAAAAGTTTGCAGGTGATTGTCCTAAGGTGTTTCCATGGTCTCCTATCTACTCCCCTCCCCTGTGTGCCTCTTTGCATTACTTTACCTCTGTAGGCATCAGTCTTCTAGTTAAACATAGTTATCTTTCGCTTCCCTACATTTGCTTTGCAGCTGTTCCTGTTGGAGTGCTTTTCTATTACTTTCATTCAAGTGTCGCCTTTAAACACATCTCTCTTTCTCCAATTGATTTCCCCATTCCCTTACTTCCCTAATGTGCTCAGTTTAACTTTAAATTGCAAGCCTGCATGCAAAGAACTTAATTGAACTAAAGTGCAAGTCCCTGCACTGCCCCAGTCACATAATATAAATACTTAGTCATTTTGTAGAGTTATCTTTTAGTGTACACAGTGAACCTTGTTCAGTTACATGGCATTCATGCAAAGATTTGTGCACCATATCTGTGACACATTCCCTACATGCATGGAGTGTGCCCCATTTCCTACATTATCTGTGTTCTATACACAGATGTAAAATTTCTGAAAATTTTGAAGCCGTGGGGGGGGGGGGAACCTGGGGAAGAAACAACAGAAATGTTGGGAATAATTGAAATACATGCAATAGTTATTTTCCTATCAAACTTAACCTTCTTTTACTTGTGGAACAATGTAAAATGCATTGTTTATAACCTAGTTAGCATAGTTAGTATTTATTTGGCATATTGATGGAATTTAAAAGTATAAATATCTAAAAGTAAGAAAAATTGTAAGTATACTCAGTAAAGAGCTGTAAACTGCTGTACCCTGTGATACCATAGCATTTGTTGAATGTGAGGGCGATCTGGCTGCAACATCTGTCACCCCATTGATCGCCAGGATTGATTTGGCTGATCTGGCTGGCTAGGTGGGTGTCCCCTACCTTCCTCACTTCTCCATGTGCATCCCTCCCAAAGCTGTGTGTTTGGTCGAAGAGGATGACTATCCCAGATAAGAGTGTACCATTCTTCGGTCAAGGGTATACAATAGCTGCGGTCCCCTGCTAGAACCTCCAAACAAGCTCAAGGTCCATAGCACTTGTATCTTTAATTTTTTGCTATTGGGAGAGGAAATAAAAAAATAAATACTGAAGGTAAAACAAATTTTGTAGTAAAGAAGAGTATATTATTTGGACAAACTCTGAAAGAGTCACAGTAGGTAGGACTACCAACAGGTTGGATATTAACATTGTGAAAACACTGAATTCTTTAATAATGTATCATCATCAAATATTATAGCTATTTAATTGTTGCCATAATTATTACATTTAAATAAAAAATCTTGAAAATAGTGTGGTGTAGTGGTTAAGAGTGGTGGACATGAAACCTACTGGGTGATCTTGGGCCCGTCACAGTTCTCTCATAATTCTCTCAGCCCCACCTGCCTCACAAGGTGCATGTTGTGGGGAGCAGAAGGGAATGTGATTGTAAGCCGCTTTGAGACTCCTTCGGGCAGAGAAAAACAGAGCCTAAAAACCAACTGTTCTTTTACAGTATAAGAGGCTTTTTCTCCAATAGTCCCCA